GGAGTCCGGGCCGCCGGTGGGAGTGCCCCCCTCTCTTATCTTGTCTGGGTAGCCACAGGGGTTTGCCTTCGTGGTGTTCCAGCAAGAGGGCGCTGAAGAGTGACCTCACACACGCGCCCTCTGGTCCTCTGGGCCCGGAATGTACAAGATGGACGCGTTGAGAGGCCAGTAGCTGCGGCTGTCTGTCCTCCCGTCCCCAGGGTCACCCCCGCGGCCGCGCCGAGCTCGCCCGTGCTCCCGCAGAGGGGCTCGCAAGCCGCTCCCGCCGCGCACGGCGCTTTCCAGGGTGCTCGGGCGTGCACACGCCCCACCCTGGGCTGATCTAGGGTGCAAAGCGTCTCTTGCTGAAGTGGGATAAACGCAAGCTGTTAGTACCAGTGTGGACTTAAACTATTTGCTTTTTGAATACGTACGCTGTCATCTTAAGTGAAATGGCAGGGTACGCTCATAACGAACCACCCAAATGAATCTGGGTATAGGGACAGGAACGTGGTGGTTGCCTTGGAGTGGTGGAATATTATGAGTGATTTTCCCGACTTCATGAACTGTCTTAAATTGTCATGCTTTTTGCAGTTTGTTTTGGAAACCCACACTTCTTGCACTACATTTTGTAGAAAATTGCACGTTTAGGCCTTCCGTGGACTTTTACAATTTTTCTTTTGTTTTCTACTTGGAATTTGTCATGTAGAATGCAAGAGTTTTTCCCTTTTCAAAAAAAAAAAAAAAAAACCTAATATTAAACTTACTGTAGATTGATTTTATTGGAACACTCACTAAATTCCAAAGTTTGAACCTGGAGTTTATTGTACCGTTTGCAAGTTGCGTAATTGGGGGAAATGATAATGTTAGGTTTGGACTTTATGTGTAACTGAATTATTTTAATCATATTTAGTGCCATTAACTTTATTATTCAGGACCATCGTTGTGATCATCCATTTTTTTGCTTGTGGCCTCAGTACTGTGAATTGAAGTTTGCGACCCCAACTCCACTTACTGTGTGCTTAAAAACCTGTCACCTGGCAGTGCTTGCTGTTTCTGCTTTGCTCCTTGCTAGCTAAACATCCTGGTGATTATGGGGTATGCCTGCTGAGCCCCACTTCACTAACTGCCTTCCACTGCAGGTAGATTTCTTCCCATCTGCTGAGAAGGCTGTGGCTCTGTCTAGAATCTGCTCATCAGTCCTTTTGAACATATCTTGTATCTTCATCCATTCTCCCCTCTTTCCACCTGTGTGTATGTTTGGGACACAGGTTTTGTGAGCAAGAATTGACCTGATGTGGCTTATACTTGATCAGTGAGTGCAGAGGCTGTTCAGGACGCTGACACTCGATTAAATTCTGTGCACTTTACCCCTTGGTCTCCTGCCCACCTGTCTTGCATGCTGTTAATTTACTTCTTGCCCATGGCAAAATTTACATGGCCATTCCAGTCCTGGCTGCTGTTATCTTTATGTAATTGCTTACAAATATTTCCCTAGATTGTGCATTGCTTTTTATTTATTTCAAGATTACTACAGTTGGCTTCTGTATTGATTTCTTATCTAGGACTCTTTACTGCCAACAATTTGCAGCCAGCTTGCTGGGGCAAGTATAGAGAAAATATTCACAGAGAAGGATGGTACTTTGGTATGTAAGGCTTGGGAACAAGGAGAAATCAGGCTGCAGAAATATAAGGGCTAGGAACAGGTAGATATCTGTCCACCTAATTGTAGTCCTCTGCAGGTTGCTAGTTTCCCAGTGGTTCAGCGGCACGTGAGCAGAACAGCAATGAGAGCCAGTCAGAAGGATTTTGAAAATGCAATGAATCAGGTGAAACTCTTGAAGAAGGATCCGGGAAATGAAGTGAAGCTGAAACTCTATGCACTGTTTAAGCAGGTAAATGCCTAAGATCTGGAGTTATTTAGAGACACTTTGAACAAATGATTCCTTAAATAGATATGTTTTATGTTTACTAAAATGTAGCCTTAATATTTTGGATTTGTATTGCTGTCTTTCCTTTGACAAATACATAGATGTGAGTTTTTTGTATATTAGACTTTGCGATATTATTAAGACACAAGGCAACCCCTCAGGGTTACACCACAGTTATAGAGACTTAGGAGATATAACATTCAAATGGGGGCTGGGTGCGGTGGCTCAAGCCTGTAATCCCAGGACTTGGGAGGTAGAGGGGAGAGGATTGCCTGAGCTCTGGAGTTCAAGACCAGCCTGAGCAACATGGCAAGACCTTGTCTCTACAATAAATAAAAAATTAGCTGGACGTGGTAGTGCATGCCTGTGGTTCCAGCTACCTGGAAGGCTGAGGCAGAAGGATCGCCTGAGCCCAGCAGGTGGAGGCTGCAGTGTCCGTCAGCAGCGTGCCACTGCACTCCATCCTGGGTGACAGAGTAGGACTCCAACTCAAGAAAAAAAATAAAACATTAAAATATGTAGATCTTATTTGGTTCCTGATTAGAATAAATCAACTGAAAAGGATCTTTGAATATAAACTGATTATTAGAAGATACCTAGGAATAATTGTCAATGGTGGCACAGTTATATAAGAAAATTTTGTTTTTTAATAATAAGTGCATTTTAAATGTAGGAGTAAAATAGCATAATCCTTAGGATTCACTAAAATAATTAAGCAAAAAAAGGAAATAAAAAGATAGAGGAAGCAAGACCATTCGATATTTGTTGCATTTGGGTGATGGGTATTGAAAATTCATTATAATATTTGACTTTGGTATGTATGAAAATTTTTTTAATAAAATTTAAAAACTAAAGCTTTTAAGTTGCAATGCCAAAGACTTCCCTGGCATGTCTACCTCTCCAGGCTCCCATGTTATCAATTTTTCTGTTCTGTGATCAAATTGAACTTCTCTTACTTTCATATGGGTGTAAATAGTAAAAGAATATAACCCAGCCCCAAAAGAGATCTGGTTTGAGCCTCTGTTACTTTCATATGTGTATGTATAGTATAGAATTTAATTGTACCCAAAAAGGTCTGACTTTACCTTCAGCTCCTAGGAAGTTAGTTTATAAACTCTTGAACTGTTGTGCTTGATAGGAGTGTCTTTGTTTGCCTGGGTTGTCTTAACAATGTGATTTAGAATAGGGGGCTTCAGGTTACACAGTCATGCATATGTGATAGAGCCCCAATAAAAACTCTGGACCCTGAGGCTGGAGTGAGCTTCTTCAGTTGGCAGTATTCCATGCATATTATCACACATCAATTCTGGGAGAGTGACACTGTCCTGATTCCATAGGGAGAGGACAATGGGAACTCCCAAATTCTATCCTTCCCTTGGCTGATTTTAATCTTTGTCTTTTCCTTGTTATAAGCCTTAACTGTGAGTATAACACCTTGCAGTGAATTCTGGGAGTCTTTCTAGCAAATTATTGAACCTTGGTGTAGTCCTGGGAGCCCCCTAACTTTACAATTGGGGTCAATGGTGATGACAGTCAGAAGATAAGGTCAGACCCCATCTTGTGCACTGTACTCCCTCTAACTTCTCAGTCAACTCTGGCAACTCATAACTCATAACTCCTTTACTGCATTTGTTTTTCAATGCTTTGTTCTTTCCTCTTTTAGCTAACTGTATTATTATTATTATTTTTTTTTTTTTGAGTTGGAGTCTCACTCTGTCACCCAGACTGGAGTCCAGTGGCCGCTCCCGACCACTGCAACCTTGACCTGCTGGGCTCGGGTGATCCTTCCGCCTCAGCTTTCCAAGTAGCTGGAACTACAGGCGTGTGCTACCACGCCCAGCTAATTTTTGATTTATTGTAGAGATGAGGTCTTGCCAAGTTGCCCAAGGGGGTCTCAAACCCACGGGCTCAGGCAATCCACTCCCCTCAGCCTCCCAAAGCACGGGATTACAGGCTGAGCCACCGAGCCCGGCTATAAAATTTTAAAATATTTAAATGGAGTTTTAAATTACCATTTCTGAAAAGTAACTGAGTGGTATATTTTATTAATCTCAAAACACCCACTCCACCTAGCCTTGAACAGATAATTTAGTTGTTTTTTGCTTTTTACTTACCTGTCCCTCAGGTAAGTTTCCTAAGAACCAGTGACTCTGACACTCACCCCCAGCCTAACTGCCCTCCTCTACCAGCTACAAGTCTGTTGCCTAGGTACTACTGAATTAGTGCGTTGTACCTTTAGATGGGCTTTCAGAATATGCTATGGGTTTCCAAATTTTGTTAACTAGTTCCTTTTAAAGATTGTTTGCTTGAATATTGTGATTGTGGGAAATGTGATTATCCATATAAAACAAATAAACTATTAGAATTATTAGAAATACTTTCCCAAACCTTTATCTTGTGTTATTTTTACATGCAGGTAGTTATAACTTATTTTAGGGACTGATAGCTAACAGTACCTTTTGTCTCTCCAGTCTTTTTTTCTGTTTTGTTTTTGTTTTTGTTTTTTGAGGGTCTCATCCTGTTGCCCAGGTTAGAGTGCAGTGGCACAATCATGGCTCACCACAACCTAGACCTCCTGGGCTCAGACAATCTTCCTGCCTCTGCCTCCTGAGCAACTGGGACTACAGGCACATGCTACTATGCCCTGCTAATTTTTAAAATTTTCTGTAGAGTTCAAGTCTTGCTGTACTGCCCAGGTTGGTCTTGAACTCTTGGGCTCAAGCAATCCTCCCACCTTGGCCTCCCAAAGTGCTGGGATTACAGGTGTGAGCTACCATGCTTGGCCCATTTTTCTGTTGTTTGTGCATTTTCAGTGACAACATCAAAGCAAAGGTGTAGGGAAAGTTCAGAACAATTTATATACACTGTGAAAGGATTTGGGTGAGGCATTTGTGCCAGCTGTGAATTTCATGAAACTTAAAATTTAGGGCTTCAGTATGCATGGACATTTGACCACTAATTGCCCCTCTCCTTCTCACAGGCCACTGAAGGGCCTTGTAACATGCCCAAACCAGGTGTGTTTGACTTTGTCAACAAGGCCAAATGGGATGCATGGAATGCACTTGGCAGCCTGCCCAAGGTAAATTTACTTGTTACTTTGCTTTTATTTGCTATACTTCTAAAGAAGGTTGAGACTTCTCATCAAGCCATTTTAGATGGAGCCTTTGAGTTCTTGTTGTGCCTCCATTGAATTAAAGCCCCTGTTATTTCTTCATTACAAGATGCTATTTAGTAGTATAGTACATTTCTCAGAATGCTTATTCATTGACCGAGGGCTGAAGCTTGTGTCATCTTCTCTTCAGGAAACTGCCAGGCATAACTATGTGGATTTGGTGTCCAGTTTGAGTTCTTCATTGGAGTCTTCTAGCCAGGTGGAGCCTGGAGCAGACAAAAAATCAACTGGATATGAAACACTGATGATGACCTTGGAAGATGGCATCACAAAGATTGTGTTCAACCGGCCCACAAAAAAAAATGCCATAAATACCAAGGTAATATTACCTGCTCTGAGAGCTTGTGTAATATTTCTTTCCCTCCTTTATGCGTTTCACTCAAAAACTGTAGTTTCAGCATCATTCCTATTTTTGTGATATTGCTTGTTTGATTTGTACGGGAAGATTAGTAATTGCGACCACTTTATACAACAGAGTTGGGCATTCATTGTTAAGAGTTTGTGAGCTTCAAGTAGATTCCAGTATACCCGAAAGGTACTGCAATTTTCCTAATAATGGAAGCACAGACAAATTAATAGGAATGAAGCACTCTTGATATAAGAAAATTTGCATAGAGGTCCTCTGAAGTTGTTATAGACTGCCCCCAGAAGTATTTCATGTCACCTAGGCTTGAGAGTGAGTCTTTCTGTTCATATGGGACTTTATTTTGTATAAGTAGAGGGAAAAAGGAAAGAGGGACTTTATCTTAAATAGATCATAACCAGCTTCTGCTTTAAAGCAGCAGCTTCACAAGGGCAACTTTAATCTTTGAATCTCTCACTGAACTAGAATGATAATAAAATAACCACTGCAGTCCCTTCCCCTTGGAAGAATTATAAAGAATTAATTGGATGCTTGGTGCTGAACTAGTACAAAAATTTGAGAGGACTTATAACCATTGGGGCTATAATTTCCATTGTGGTAGAAAGAGCATGCTCGCTTAAAATAGTATTAAAAATTTCATGCAGTAGGGTATGTGTCATTCAACTAATTAAGCATTCAATTCTCAAACTCTGTTTCTAATTTTCTTGACTCATTTCTCTAGAACCATGGTAATAACAGCTTCTCTTTACAAAGTACTTAATAAGCCAGGCTTGGTGGCTCAGTCTGTAATCCCGTGCCTTTGGGAGGCTGAGGTGAGTAGATTGCCTGAGCCCGCGGGTTCGAGACCCGCTTGGGCAACTTGGCGAGACCTCATTTCTACAATAAATCAAAATGAGCCGGGTGTGGTAGCATGCGCCTGTAGTTCCAGCTACTCGGAAGGCTGAAGCAGAAGGATCGCCGGAGCCCAGCAGGTCGAGGCTGCGGTGGCCGGGAGCGGCCACTGCACTCCAGTCTGGGTGACGGAGTGAGACTCCAACTCAAAAAAACAAACAAACAAACAAAGTGCCTAATAAGTATCAGCACTTTCTACACAGAGGTTTATTTACTTCTCACAAGGAGTTTATTATTATCATTATTTAACAATAAAATAATTAGACAGATTAAGAAATAACTTGCTCAAGTTCACTAACTAATAAGCAGAAAAACATAAATGGAAACCCTGATGCATCCATCTCCTAATTTCTGTCTGGCCGGTTGCCTGACTGTGCTATGTCATCATAGCAGTGATAGAATTGCTTCCTGATTTCCTCCCTCAGTGGAAATGTTTACATCTTTTTTCACATATAGTCGTCCCTCAGTGTCTGAGTAGGGTTGCTTCCAGTACCTCCCTGTGGACACCAACATCCTCAGATGCTCAAGTTCTTTATAAAATGATGTTATATTTGCATATAACCTGTACACATCCTCCTATCTACTTTAAATCATCTCTAGGCTACTTATAATACCAAATACAATGTGCTATGTAAAAATGCTATGTGAATAGTTGTTACGCTATATTGTTTAGGGAATTGTGACCAAAAAAAGTCTGTACCTGTTCAGTACAGACACATTTTTTCCCTGAATATTTTTGATCTGTGGGCAGTTAAATCCATGGATGTAGAACCCATGGATACAGAGGGCTGGCTGTATTATGTAAAGTCTATGTTTGTTTCAGTGTCTTTGTATCTGTAAATATCATCCCTCTTCATAGTTTTTCCCACATTGAAATCTCATCTAATGTAGAAATTGTACTGGCTTTAAATGCATTAAAAGCTATAGCTACACGTTCAAGATTTTCAGAAATGTTGCTGATTTTAAATTTTGAGGCATTGTCCTGAAATTCCATGAGAGTGTCTTGGAAATCTGAGCCTTTCAGCAATCTTTAATACCAGACTGCCTGGGACACTGGCTCCCTTTTAAGGTCAATATGGAGACATTACTTGTGCAAAGTTTTCTCTCCCCTTCTATTCGCTGTAGACAAGCCTCAGTAACTCCTCTAAGCTTCCTACTGCTTTATACGTTCCACCCCCAGTCACATTTAGGCATTGTAATCCTCTGTTAATTCCAAAAACTCAGTGACTATGTCTTTTTGTTTTCTTTTGGAACAAAATGGTTTATAACCCCAGAATCTACCATAGCACCTGATATATGATACACACCTTGTAAAAGAAATGAAAATGGTTCACCTTTTGGTTCAATTTTGGTTTTGGTACAGTTAACATAAATGAGAGCAGACTTTAGTGTGATATTTACTGAATCCGTTGGATGTTGATTCCCAGTTTCAGAGTCCTTTTCTTTTTCTTGTCTTCCCACCCTCATAGATGTATGATGAAATTATGCGTGCACTTAAAGCTGCCAGCAAGGATGACTCATCCTTAACTGTTTTAACAGGTAAGACATTTTCTCAGATTTCCTAATAAAATTTTTATTTTTGAGAGTCTTTTCCTAGATAGAGAATTGTGTAAAAAAGCTCTGTGACATTCTAATACATAAATACACAAAAAAAGGTAATAAAAACAGAGTATCCACTTCTTGGTAATTACCCAAGATAAAGCATATGTCCACAAAAAGACTCGTAAGGAACAGTCATGGTAGGCCTGTTCATAGTAGCCAAAATCAGAAAACAAACTCAAATGTCCAAGAACAGATGAATGAATAAACAAATTGTTGACTATTCACACGATGGAATAGTACTCAGCAACAAAAAGAAATGAATAAATGATACACACAAGAACATGGATGAATCTTTCAAACAGTTCAGCAAAATAAGACAAAGGAAGGGAGTACATATTGTATGAGTTCATTTGTAGAAAGTTCTGTGGTAGGCAGGCAAAAGTTCTCATTTATGGTAATGGAGTCAGAAAGTGATTGGCAGGGGGGATGCCAAGCTAGAAAGGAGCCTACAGGAACTTCCTGGGGGTGATAGGAAATGTTCTGTGTCTTGTTTTGGTTGGTGATCATGCAGGTATTTACAATGTTCAAAACTCATTGAACTGCACATTCAAGAACTGGTCAGTTTATTGTATGTAAATTATAATTTCATGCATATACACGCTCCTTCAATGGCTCTTAGAATAAAGGTAAAACTTCTTCATGGGATCCACAAAGCCCCACATGGTCTATCTTCAACCTGCACCCACTTCTTCCCCCTGGCTTCTTCTTAGTCAGCCACAGTGGCACTTCTTTCAACCCATCATCTATATTGGGCGTACCCCCTCCAAAGAACCTTCGCACAGGCTGTTCCTGCCGTGTGAACTATTCTTCCCACCCTTCTTTTTCTAGCTAATTTCTATCCTTCAAATTTCAGTTCAGTATTTCCTTCCTTAGGAAAGTCCTTTCCAGAACTCCCTGATTAGACCAAGCCCCTGTTACATACCCTTGTGTTATTGTGCACCTCTCTTTTAGATCATAGTTGTATCATCTACATTTATTTGTGTTTTTATATATCAATGTCCAGCTTACTCACTAGTTTGTAAATTAGGGTAAGAACTTTAACTCGTTCTTCATTGTATTCCCAGTGTCTAGCATAGAACCTGGCATGTGGTAGATACTCAATAATTACAGAATGAATGGGGGAATCTGTTGATTTTATTGTTTACAGGAAATGGTGACTATTACAGTAGTGGTAATGATCTGACCAACTTCACTGACATTCCCCCTGGTGGAGTAGAGGAGAAAGCTAAAAATAGTGCCATTCTATTGAGGTAAGTGTGACTGACACTTGTCTGGTCACAGAGGGCTCATTCTTATGCATCAAGTGATATTTAGTCGAGCAAAAGTAAAACATGTACTTCTCTATAATAATGACTTTGTACAAGTTTGTTTCTGCAAACTACCTCCATCAATAGATGGGCGTTCATTCTCTCACTCTGGCTTCTGCTACCTGTTCCTCATGCCACACTCAAGAGATTAGACTGGAAAACATAAAAGCGATCTATAGTTATGAATAAAATTATCTTGCAGTGAAGGAGAAGAATTTAGCAAATTCAGCCAGAGGAATAGATTGCCTCCATAAATGCTGGAAATAGGAGACTTGAAGGAGTCTCAGAAACACAGAAGGTGGTCATGAAGGCTTTACTCTTCCTGTCTTATTTATCCTTGCTGAATGAGTCCCACTGTGCTATACTGTTGCAGTGTGTGCTCGCTGTCACCCATCCTAATCTCTTAAGACCACAGCTGGCATACAGCCCTGAACTCACTGCTCAGGATACAAAATTTGAACCAGAACCGGCCTGTAGATTTCACTGCATGACCTCCATCAATTCCATTCAAATGGATGTCCTGGATGAATCTGTACAGAAGACCAGGGATGTGGCAAAATGGGGAGGAACTGCTGGTAGTGGTCATGGAAATGCCCAGCCTCACCAGAAGGGCATGTTGTCTCAGACTCAAACTGTCTTGCCTGTACTTCAGCCATGCTGCCTTGGAACATGTAATGAGTTTATATTTCCATTTCTGTAGGGAATTTGTAGACTGTTTTATAGACTTTCCTAAGCCTCTGATTGCAGCAGTCAATGGTCCAGCCGTGGGAATCTCTGTTACTCTTCTTGGGCTGTTTGATGCTGTGTTTGCATCTGACAGGGTAAGTCACCTCCCAGAAGAGTAAGGTCAGACAAGTGGAGCAAAATTATATTATTTGAGCCTTCTTTATTGTTGCTAATAGAAATTGGATCATAGAATGGACTAAATTTAGATGTTTCTCAAATAGTCTAATTTGACTGATTTTATTTTTCCTTCATTATTAACTTGAATTTTTCTAAACACCAGTATTATGAACATTGTCCCAACTGTGATAGTTCTAAATTCGAATCAAAGTATACAACAGTTATTCAATGTTCATACTACTCTAAAATACTCAGGCAACACCTGAAAGGCGTTTTCAGGAGGGAAGGGGGAAGCATCTTTACAAGTTATGCTTGTGGATTATTAGATCCTTTTCTCTAAGTGAGTGAATCCTGGTATTTGGAATTTTAGAATAAGAAGGGACTGACAGCCGGGCTCGGAGGCTCAGCCTGTAATCCCGCGCCTTTGGGAGGCTGAGGTGAGTGGAATGCCTGAGCCCGCGGGTTCAATACCCGCCTGGGCAGCGAGACCTGATCTCTACAATAAATAAAAAAATCAGCCGGCCATGGTAGCGCATGCCTGTAATTCCGGCTACTAGGAAGGCTGAGGTGGAAGAATCGCCGGAGCCCAGCAGGTCGAGGCTGCGGTGGCCGGGAGCGGCCACTGCACTCCAGTCTGGGCGACAGAGTGAGACTCCAACTCAAAAAAAAAAAAAAAAAAAGAAAGGACTGTCTATAAATATTATCTGTCTCACTCCCTGCTGGGCTCCAGCGATTCTCCTACTTCAACCTTCCAAGTAGCTGCAATTATAGGCACACGCCACCACACCTGGGCTGGTCTTGAACCCAAAGTGCTAGGATTATAGGCTGAGCCACAAAGCCTGACCAATATTTTCTAATTTTTTTTGAAAATGTAAACATCATAACAATAATAAATATTGAGTGCTCACTATTTATTAGATACTCTTAATATGCATTTTGTGTATATTGTAAATATGTATACACACACATTCACATAATGTATTACAACAACCCTATGAGATAGGGACTCTTGTTCCTATTTTACAAGTGAGAAAACTGGCACAGAAAGAGTAAGAAAGTTTCCCAGAGTCACTAAGTATTCTGATGTCAGAGCCTAAACCATTGCCTTCTATTGCTCTATTTCTGAAAAGAAGCATTTTAAATGCTGCCGTTGGCAGCTTTGTAGGTACCTGTTTGTAGTCTCTTAGCTATGGTTGGGTATTTTTTCAGTTTCCTGCTTATCTTTCATAGGCTGTGTCTTCTGTGTACATTTTCTTGAATAAACTTTCTTTTGGATTAAAAAAAGAAGATATATGACATTGACAAACTTATACTTTTATTATTTTGATACATATGATGCATACATTATATATTTATATCTTTTAACAAATATGCATTAAAATAACACTATGACTAGGAAATAAAATGTAAATATTCTTTTACATATTATAAACTACAAATTATCTTTAATAAGTATTCAATGTTCATCAAGAAACACAAAAATATCTCATAAATCTAGAAAAAAACTAAAACTGACTGTGTTCTAAATAACCATTATTGAATCAATTCTACTAGTTCAGGCCAATCAAAAAATCCTCAGGAGCAAACTCAAGACAAATGACAGATTGAAAAAACAACTTTTCAACTTACATAACAAGAGCTAATCTCTCTGAAATATGTCTTAAAGTGTGTCTATAAAGCAGTAGATCAACAACCTAATAAAAAATGGGCAATGGCAAGGAATAAATAGGCCACAAAAATGAATTATAAATGGCTATTAAAACCATTTGAGAAAGACACCATGAAGAAAATGAAAAGATAAGTCACAAATCAGGAGCAAATATTTGCTTGACACTTATCTGATAAAAGACTTACAACTTGAATATGTAAAAAACTCTGATAAGATGGTAAGCAGTCTAACTTAAAAAATAATGGACAAACTATTTGATCAATTGTTTCACTAACGAAGATATACTGATGGCTAGTAAGCACATGAAAAGATGCTCAGCATCATTAATCATTAGAGACTTGTTAATGAAAACTATAGTGAGACACGACTGCACACCTACTATAGCATGGTTTAAAAGGCTTTTAATAACTAGGTTTAGTAAGGATGTGGAACAACTGGAACTTTCCATACACTACTGATGAGAATGTCCAATAGTACAACTACTTTGAAAACAGTTGAGCAGTTTGTTTTAATTAAACATACATTTACCAAATAACCCAGCTATCCCATCTGTAGATATTTACCCATGAGAATTGAAAACATGCATATATTCACACACAGACCCGTACACAAATGTTCATAATAACTTTTTTTGTTAGAATTATCTGAAAAAGATTTTTAAAACCTTTTCCCCCTTTATTGAGGATAATTGACACACAGAAATTGTACAGTCATGCTCCGCATAACAATATTTTGGTTAACAACGGATCACAAGTATAATAGAGGTCCTATAAGATTATAATACTGTATTTTTACTGTACCCTTTCTATGTTTGATATGTGTAAGTATGCAAATACTTACTATTGTGTTAAGGTTGCCTACAGTATTAAGTACAGTAGCCTACTATTCACGTTTGTAGCCTTTATGAAGCGACTTTGCATAAACCTAGGTTTGTGTAAGTACGTTCTGTGATGTTTGCACAACGACCAAATCACCTAATGATACCTAATGAGAACGTATCCTCATTAACTGATGCAAGACTGTATTATTTAAGGTGTATGACTTGATGTTTTTTGTAACAGCCTTATTCATAATAGCCAAAATACTGGAAACAGCACCAATGGCATTAACTGTTGGATAGATAAACAAATTATGATATATCTGTGCAATGGTATATTACTCAGAAATAACAAGGAACAAGCAACTAATACATGCAACAGCTTGGGGATTCTCAGAAGCCTTATACTAAATACCAGAAGTCAGACTCAGAAAGCTGCAGAATGCACATTCCACTTACATAACATTCTAGAATAGGCAGAACTGTAGGGACAGAAAACAGATTAATGGTTTCTTGGGAGGAAGTGGGAAGAAGGGATTGACTACAGAGGGCATAAGGGAATTTGGGGGGATGATGGACATGTTCTGCATCATGAAAGTGGTGGCTGCATAACTCTCTTTTTTAAGACTCATCATACTTCACACTTGTATGTGTGTTATACTATATAATATTAATTTTAAAACTGTTTCATCGAGTATTGTGAAGTTATAAGCAAGTCGTGATTTTTTTTCAATCACATATAAAAAGATGATTTTCTTTTCTCTCCCTCTATCCATAGGCAACATTTCATACTCCATTTAGTCACCTAGGTCAGACTCCTGAAGGGTGCTCCTCTTACACTTTTCCGAAGATAATGGGCCCAGCCAAGGTAACTTTGGGAAAACTTAAAATGTAATGAGTCATCTCTATTTTAAAAGTAATCTCCTACTCTCCCTTCTTTCCCTTGTTAATATTGATAAGACAAATAGAAGTTAGTTGTTTGCTTTTCAACTCTTAAAAGTTTTACATATGGAGGAATCAAGCTATGGCAAGTGTCTGGAATGAAAGGAAATTAGAAATTAGACATATTGTCTGCAACTCCAGAATTAGGATGCTCCTCTTTCAACTGGTTGCCTAGTGCTAGCTGCATTGCAAGCAGCACACCTCACCCTCAACCGCTGTGTGGCATTTGCCAATTGGAGGATCAGTGCTGTGCCAGCCTCCCATGGTTTACTAAGCTCGGGGCCACTTAGTTGCTTCATGATGACCAACATCCACAGAGATCTGTGATGACATCTTTGCTTTCATAGCTATTAAGTACCAGCAGATAGGAGGCTTCATGGGTGTTACCACTTCCAAAGCCATTCCCAATTCCAGCAGCCTTTCCATCAACCTGTTTTCCAGCATATTCCGACTCTCATAGTAGTCAAGTGTCTGCTCAAGTCTATCTCTGTGTAATGGGAACCTATTGCTCACATCTCTATTTTAAAAGAGCCAGGGCGAAGGGAAAGACTTAGCACACATTCTTCAGGATCTCAAAGGGCGAGAGTAGGAATTGACAGCATTTTCGTTGACTATTAGGTTTACACACACACACACACACACACACACACACATACATATATATTTTTTAATAAATATATATATATATTTAAATCTCATATTGTCACATATCCTGAAGGCTTGAGCTGTGGAAGGTCGGGCAGAAACAACTCTAAGTCCTAGAGCACTGGGCTATGGAATAGTCTTTACTTTTCTGAAGGAGGAATTGGAAATGTAGAAAAGACATCCACTTAGTATCCTCAGTTTTTTTAGAAACTGAATAGAGGTCTTCGCTTTCCTTCAGTCACATGGAGCTGAGTACCCATGCAGGTAAAGAAAACTGGGAGCCAGACCACTGAGTAGAATTTCCAGGGAATGGAATTTTGAATGTTTCTAAAGGTTAGCCCAATGGCCATGATTTTTCTTTCTTTTCTTTTTTCTTTTGTAATGGTTTATAGTGTATATGACAGAAACTCATAGCTGCTGTGGGTTACAGGATCAGTATGTGCTTCAGGCCATTTCTGCCCCAGCTCCCTGACCCTGTCTCTCCCACAGAGACACACCTAGATGCAGAGGCGTTTACAGGTCTTCCAGGGAGCCTGCGAGGCTTGCAACACATGGTTTGCAACCGTTGCCCATTGAGGTCATCAGCTTCTCCCTTACTGAGAAATATCAGAGACCTCAAAAGTCCTTGAATAAATCTCTCTGTGCTTGCTGAAAGCAGTCAATTCTGAAGTTAACTGAAGCCTTGTTTTATTAAGTAATGTCTTAACCTTCCTTCTTGCTTTTCATTTCAGGCAACAGAGATGCTTGTTTTTGGAAAAAAGTTAACAGCAAGAGAGGCTTGTACTAATGGACTTGTTACTGAAGTTTTTCCTGATAGCACTTTTCAGAAAGAAGTTTGGACCAGGCTGAAAGCATTTGCAAAGCTCCCCCCCAATGTTAGTATTCATCTCTTACTTGTGGGGAAAAATGTATTTGCCTTAAGAGAGTAAGTCATAAAAAAGACAAGACATATCTTTAGGTGGCTTTAAGCACATTTAAATTGGCGATTTAAAATAATCATAATAAATGTTGGAAATACAGTATTGATTTTACAAAACTTATAGTATTCTGTTTCTGTGATATGAAGGCAGAGGGACAGTTCTTTACTAGGATAGCTTGATCAGCTAATAGGCAGTATTTGCTGAACACTTTTATTTTGGGATCAATGTGAGAAGCTGGACAGATTGACTATACTTGGGAGTCTTACTGTGTAGCACTTGTGTATTTATATGTGGTAGTTAGTGACTGTTTGCTTTCATATTCTTGCTATTCAAAGTGTGGTTCTGAAGCCAGATGCTTTAGCATCCATCTAGGACTTTTTGGAAAAGTATACTCTCAGGCTTGCCCCACAGCTCCTGAATTGGTTCATATGCACAGCGAAGTGTGAGAAGCACTGTCTTATATTACATGTGTAGCTTAAAACGTAACAGGATTAGTTAAGTGAACCGTGGAGAAACAAGAACCAGAATCATAAAGTAATCCCACTTCCATTAGAATAACTCTTAGCCTTACTGTTGGTTTTGTTTTCCAGGCCATGAGAATTTCAAAAGAGGTCATGAGAAATAGTGAGAAAGAAAAGCTGCATGCTGTTAATGCAGAAGAATGCAGTGTCCTCCAGGGAAGATGGCTGTCAGACGAATGCCTGAATGCTGTCAGCAACTTCTTATCCAGAAAAGCTAGACTATGACAACCACCACAGAAGAGTTAAGCATGTCAGACAAAGGGTATGGTCTTACTTCTGACTTACAGTACTTGAATTAAATAAACTTCAGTGCCTTTTTCAGTACTAAAATGTCAGTTATGATGATTGTATTTCACTATACCCCTGAGGAATAAAAAATTTTGTAAAACAAGCTTTAAGAATTTACATAGATTTTTGGTAATAGAGAGTCTTACGTCTTTTGACATGAATCGTTGTTGCCAGGAGCACTGGAACATGGTGCCTGGGGTCCTACTTTGAAAAGCACTCACAGCATGACAGGCTGAAGTCATATCTTTGAATGTCACTATAGCACTTTGACGTCCACAAACGGTGACTGACTGAATTGGGCCAAATGCTGACAGTCTTTGGATCACCGACTTGAGATCCTCGGTGGGTTGCATGTTCTTTTTTAACCATCTGTCAAGGGTGCAAAATGGAAGGAATAGTATTATTAGAAAACAAACAAGAATCTTAGTTTCTTCACAATTTAATAAAGAGACTTGAAGTGTATCATTTTTGTTGAAAAGCAATGCTCTGTATCAGTGATTATTTTCTTATTTGTTATAGAGTTCCATTTTTATTTAATGTAGTATTTTCTGAAAGGCATACCTGCAGACTGCCCTAACTGTCCTTGCAACTTCTTGTTTTGATTAATGCCATACATATTACTTGACAGGGACTGAGGGTATAATTCCAAAGACTGCAAAAGAGGCATAGGATATTTGTTTTTCTAAATTTTACTGGGTCTTTTTGACCTTTTCTTCAAGCATCAGTTTCCAGGTAGCTAACCCACCAAATCTCTAACTTTTTAGTTCTTAATTTTTGTACTTCAGTAATCTTAATCCAAAATAAGTGAATCCAGAAAATAAGTGAATAGAAATGTGCACATTTACTGTTACTAGTGCCTAATGCCCATTGTCATATTTTATCTCCAAGAAACAATGCCAAAAAATAAAAATGAGATAGGACCTGTTGCTGCTACCCTTTACAAGTGGACATCCTGAGATTAAAATAGCTCTTCGAGAGTCAAACTTCCAGTAAATGTCAAAATGGAGATAAAAACCCCAGCAGAGTTCCAGTTCCACTGTGGCAGCATAAGCCAACTATAGTTCTTCGCTTCCACTAATTACAACTAGAATCTCTAGACAAAATATGAAAAAGAACTACTTGAGAATGCTGAAATTAATCAAAAGCAAGTTGACTATGAAAAAGTATGGAAATAAACAGAAGCAACTGCACAGGAGTATTTTTTCCAGATGGTGAGCAATAAACAATCTCAAGGATCTCTCTCCTGAGCAAGGTACTTTTGCCTCAAAGGCACATTTCTGCTGTGGAGCAAGATTGTGGCCATGGCATGACCAGTCAAATAAAAGGTGAGGAAAACATCTTTCCAACCAGAAAAAGGACCTCTCCCCTCCCTCCCCACCTGCCCCACCACTGGAGGTTAAAGAGTGAGAGTAGAAGAGAATCTCAGAGCAGGGCAAAAAATGTTCCTCTAATTCTATGTATGAGCCCATACAAGTCTTAGGTTCATGTGTAGGACAGACTCAAACCAACATAACAAAGATATTGAGAGCTGCACTGGGATTTTAACAACCACCCACAGAAGATCAAGACAGAGCTTGTAGTCTGAAACTAACCAGGTTGATCTCTTGCTGAAATAAAAGCATTCTCCAGATGATAGTAATAGGCCTAGGATCCATGTGACATAATATTTACAATGTCTATAATACAATCCAAAATTATTTGACATACAAAAAACCATGAAAATCTGAACACTCAGGTAAAAATGATAATACACATCAATTCTGAAATGATCCAGATGTTGGAATTTTCAGTCTTTAAAAACAGTTCTTATAACTGTGTTGCCTGACACTAGAAATGATTTTAAAATATATAAATTTCCAGCAGAGAAGCACAAATGGTGAAAAAGAGAATCAAATAGAAATTTTTTTTTTCATTAATCAGTATTTTTTATTATGGTTTTGTGGGGTACAGTTAAGGGTTAGGTGTACAATGACGTTTCATTCAGGCACCCTGTAGATAAGAAGTGTTTTCCCATCCCCCGACAGATATTTGCTACTGTTAATCCCATCCCCCTCCCCCCCATAGTTTCGCAGTACCATCCGTCATTTTTTCATAGTATTGCATGGGATGTTCAAGGTCCATTATATGAGTGAGAACATGTGATATTCGGATTTTTGTTTTTGTGAGAGGTCACTCAGTATT